CTCAGCAACTTCCTTATTAACTTCTTCCACCACATTTTCAACAACTTTATCCATAACCTTATTTTTAGATTTCACCTTTTAGGTGCTTCTTCCCGTAGCTACTTCTTATCTTTGGGTGCTTGATGCAACAATTCATTCAAAGTATCTTCGACTTTCTGTTCTTCAGTCTTTTCTTCCACTTCCTTGATAATTTTCTTGGAGATGTCCTTGGCAGGCACGCCTCATTTCTTCTTTGGGATATGCTTCTCATCCTTTCTTGGCTTCTTTTTGGGTTCTTCAGGAGTGTCTTTGCCACACCAGAGGTCGACGCCCCAACAACTCAAGTAGACACATGGTTGATATGCTTCTTTCCCTTTCCTTTCTTGTCCTTTTCCTCATATTATTTTTGTTCGTCTTCCTCCAACTCTTCCAATACGTGTTTAGAGAAAACTGGTATTGATTCCTCATTATAATTCCAAGCGTTTACCGTTAATTCCCAATCAAACTTGTCTTTTTCAAACCTAAAGAAATCCCTCTGGTATTTTTGCATTTGTAACAGAATTTTCCAAAGCATACTTTCTGTCTCAAAATTGGTCTCTACTCTAGCTGACTCCAGACCTGCCTCTGCTTTCCTTTTTCTCATTTTTGGCTTCATGAGAGTTTGCAAGGCAGCCATGTTAAAAGATGCCTGAGGGTGTTAGATGGAAATTTTGATAATAGGATGTAAAGGATCAAAAGTCAAAGACTAAACTATTTTTGAAAGAGGTGTCTTATGGAGACTTAGATTAATTTTTTCTAAGTGGATGGTCGAAGATCAAGTACATGAAGAAGCCATTTGTTAAAGATTTCGAAGTTTTAAAGTTTGAATTTGAATAATCATCTTGAGGTTTTGGTGCTCTCCGCCACAAAGGGATTCAAAATTCAAGTCTTTTGATCTTATCCAGAAGACGCGTGGAGGTCTAATAGTTCGAAGGATTTGCATGTCGCGAACGTGGTGTCTAGATATGGAAAGACCGTTAAGGTTGAATTTGTATGTATATGGGTCTTAGCGATATGATTCCCGTGTTCATTCGTTTGTACAAAATCTCACATAAACTCAAAGTATCTGCTTATTGAGAAAAGAGTCCTTTTGAGAAATGTACGTGTAAACACCATCTTTTATTTTAATACAATTTATCTTTTCCAGAAATTTACTTTTAGAAATTTACTTTCGATTTCTTTTATTGTACTTTCTTTACAAGTTTTCATAAAGTTTATTTTATAAAGTTATTTAGATCGAAACCTATATTATCAAAAACTATGAATGTTGTCGAAGTATTCTTTGTTTCCAAGAACAAAGCTTGAATAAGAACACATGTCCTAGGATCAATCTAGTCGATCCTGTGAGTAACTAAAGACTTTTTGTTGTTTTTAGAAGACTAGTGTTTGTTTACCAATTTTCACGATAAATAGAGGGTTACAAATTTCATTTGTCTCCCTTGCATGAACCCCATGCTTTTTGCATAAAGCAGTGATCAAGCAAGGAAAGTATAGTATACCTTCATTCTTCTTTGAGTAGGCTTGAATCTATTAGAGGATGATTTTTCCAACATTGATGTCTTCTCCAGCAGTGATACAATGCAGTAAGACCAACATAGCCCTGTTCACAGTTTCAGTGTATGGTTGGCCTTAATAAATGCTTCACAAACTGGTACCACACTTTTGCTTCAGGTCGTAGGTTCATTCTCTTCATTGTTTTATCACCACCATATTCTAACCATTTGGTTCCCAAATTGCACAAGGACTCCATATAGACATCAAAGTCCCTATCATCTGATGCATATAACAACTCTTGATATCGGTCCTAATTGTTGTTTAAACTGAAGAACATGTTGATTAATCCATCAGAGTAAGAGACATTAATTCCTCTCACAATAACCTCATCCCTTCTATTATTTGTATTCACCAAGTTGGCATAAAACTTCTTCACAAACTGAGTATTATATAGGAGCAGTTGTTGATAAAACTTCATCCATCTCTTGGCTCTGGTCATGGTACCTATATCTCCAGGCAGACCTAAGTTATCTTCTTGCTTATCTAAAATGAAACACGATCAGGGAGCATGCCCATTCCCGAAATGAACTATGAGAATCTCTGACTAGCATCCACATTGATGAATGTTTCGCTATCAGATCCCTCCTCATCAGATAGGTCAATTTGGGGCATTGCATTTTTTCGAGCATAAGTTTTGTAACGACCTTGTGAGTAGGTTGGTTTCATGGTTACAAATTAGGGTTTAAGGAAGAAATTTGAGGAAGATAGGGTCTGCAGAAAAATAAAAAATGAGAACTTGAAGGGAATTTTAATTAGGAACGGTTGTAAGGAGTTGAGGGGTAGTTTATAGAAGTTAGGCAATTTTGATGTAATGGAATTTGGTGAGAGAGTCTTTTAAAAGAAAATAGAGAGAGGGAAATGAGTGTAACATGTGAAGAAGAATCAAATTTGAAACTGACCAGAGAGGGAGATGGGTAACTGTTATAGGGAAATGCAAGAGTTGTTTTTAATGATTCTCAAACCAAAAGCTTGAAACAGCTAATTAATGTGCATGTCTCCTTGATGATGTCACACATAGGGCTAAGTCTGTCTGACGCATGCGTGCTACTGTTTCTCTCTTCCTTAATTTTGTCTCTATGCACACATATCAACAACTTCTACTTTCATCATTTCTTTTGAATTTCACAATGACGATAATCTCTTCCATCTTTCATGAATACCCTAAACGGAAGTCATGAATTGACTCATCATAGACTCTTTCTAATCAATCACATCATCTGAAAAAATAAAATAAACTGAAAATTAAAGTTACTCTTGGTTGCCTCCCAGTAGCACTATTTTATAGTCTTATAGTCTGACTTCAATAAGAAATCAAGAAGAATCATTAAAATCTATAGTGTACCTTATGTTGTGCAAGGATTCACCATGATAAGCTTTCACTCTTTGTCCATTCACTTTAAATATCTCAACAGCCCCATGAGGATAAATCTTAATTAACTTGAAAGGTCTTGACCATCTAGACTTAATTTTTCTAGGGAAAAGCTTTAATCTAGAATTAAACAAAAGCACAAGTTGGCCTTTCACCAATTCTCTTTTTCAGGCACTTACCATCGTGCCACCTCTTAGTCTTTTCTTTATATAACTCAACATTTTTATAAGAAAACAACCTATGCCCCTTAAGCATTCTCTTTTTACTACCCCAAAAGCCATGTGCTCTAACTCAATTGACAAGTTGCATGCCTTTCCATAGACAAATCTATAGGGAGACATGCCTAAAGAAGTCTTGAAGGATATTCTATATGTCCAAAGAGCATCATCTAAGTGCTTATACCAATCCTTGAAGGATTCACAAAATTTTCTAAAATTCTTTTTATCTCTCTATTTGAAATTGCAGCTTGTCCACTACACTGGGGATGGTAGGCCGTAGCAAATTTATGCTTAACTCTATATTTTGCCATCAATTTTTCAAAGATTTTATAGCAAAAATGGATTCTTCCATCACTAATGATTTCTATAGGGGTTCCATGTCTAGAGAAGATATTTTTAACCAAAAATTTGGTCACTTCTCTAGCATCATTAGTGGGAGTTGCTACTGTCTATATCCACTTAGAGACATAATCTACAACAACTAGTATGTAAAAATTCCCAAAAGTTTGAGGAAATGGGGCCATGAAGTCAATGTCCCATACATAAAAAAAAATCAATTTCAAGGATGTTGGTGAGAGGCATCTCTTTCCTCATGGAGATATTCCCCACTCTTTGGCATCTATCACATTTCCTAACCAGATCATGAGCATCTTTAAAAAGAGAGGATCAGAAATAGCCTGATTGAATAACCTTGGCAACAGTTCTGGTTCCTCCAAAGTGTCCTCCATAAGGAGCCTCATGACATGCATACAAGATTTGTCGTGCCTCTGGTTGATCCACGTATCTTCTAAGCAGCTGGTTAACACATCTTTTGTAGAGGAAAGGTTCATCCCAAAAATAACTTATGGTCATGTGGAATAACTTTTACCTTTGCTGAGAATTGAAATCTAGTGGAACATATCTGCTGACTAGATAATTAAAAATATCAGTATACCAACAAGTCACACCAATGTGTCACACCCCAAATTTCGCCCCTAAATTTTTCAATCGCATTATCATAGCATATTTTGGTTGTATCAGGTCACAATCTTGGACAAACATCTTCATTCATTGCATTTGCACCATTAGTCGCATTTAAGTTGACCAAAAGTCAGTTTAAATTGATATTTGTATCGTTTTAGAGTTAAAAAATACATGATATTTCACTTCATGCATTTTTATCTCTTTACCTGCTTCATGCATGGCGCCAGGTTGTTTATATGCAATAATATTGATATTCAGTTTTACAGACAAATCATTAAAAGTGATTCGACATTGTACAAAAAATTAGCAGGCAAAATATTTCGAGTTTTCATCTTTAGCTGACTAATTTACGAATCTACGTTGCGCATAGATCATGTCGGTATGCTCACTTTATTTTTTCGGTGCAGTTTGTTGTCTCTTTTTTAACTGTTAGCGTTTGTTCAGCTGAATATTCTTATTCTCATTTTTATTTCGATTTTGACCGTTTGGATACTTTTTTATTAAACTTTATGACTTGTAGTTTATTTTAATGTATTCATTTACTTTTTTTCGATTAATCAAGTGTCCATTTTTTTAATCATTTTTAATTATTTTAGATGTCTTTTTTTTATTCAGAAAAAATTGAAATAAAAATATTTTTGAGTGTATTTATTTTTGTTGTTTTAATTTTTTAGCTCAATTTTATCACATTTGGAAAAATTGACAAAACCCTAAAGTGTTGTTATTAAGATCAGAAGAGGGGATCAGCTTTGTAAAATCAGTGAAAACAAAACACAAACCAAAACAACGGAGACTCTGATACCTTCATCTTCGTAGTCTTTCTTCTTCTCTGCGACCCACCTTCAATCCGTTCAGCCTTCATACACCTCTGTCACACCATGAACAACACACCTCCACCAACCGGCCACCATGCTTCCGTCAACCTCAACCTTCTGTCCGCGCATACACTCTCCGCTGCTACTTCCTCACCTCATCTCCACGAACAACCCAGCACATACCTCATACCCAGCTTCCATACTCAACCACACGGTTTTACTCCCTCTGTAGCAGACAGACAACACACCCCCTCCATTTGTTTCAAAACCAACGATAACTTCCTCCGTCCGAGCATTCCACTACTGCCTCTCTTCCTTCCATCACCGCTCAACTTTCATCACAATTACTAGCTTCTGTTTGTGATACCTTCGGCATCAACACAAGCCGTTCACGTGAAGCTCCGCCATCACCACCATTCTGCTTTGGTAAGTTTTCACCATCATCTTTGTTGTGGTTTAATTGTTGGATTATGGACTATAAATCTAAGTTTTGAAATTGTTATATTGTTGTTAATTTGAGCAATTTATCTTGATGTCATTATTTTGTTATTTATGCTAAGTTAAATAATGAAATTGATGGTGTTATTGAGTTGTGTGAATTAAATCTGAATTTTGAATTGGCTATGTGTTGAATCTAGATGTTAGAATTGATCTCATTATGGTTGTTGTGATACCAATTTATGAAAATGATAGTATTGATATTGTTAGTTTGATGGTTAAATTGGTAATGACAATATTGTTGGTTTATCGTTGAATATAGTAATGATGTTGTTTATTTTAATTGTTGATGAAGTTGGTGATGATGTTATTGTTGATTTTTAAGTGTTGAAAGAGGTGGTGATTATTGTTTGAAATCAGAATATTTGAAATTGAATGAAACCTTGATGACATTATTGTTTGAAGTAAATGATGAAGTTTGTTGTTGTGATTAGCTTGAAAGTTGAAATGTCAATTTTGGTGTTTATTTGTTATGTCACTTGTGAGGTACTAAGGATTATCATGTTATTTGAGTCAATTTCGATTGAGTTTTTGTGTCGATACCATGCTTTTTGTGTTATCTATGTTAAATCCGAGTGAAGTTTGGTGTCGATACCATGTTACCTTAATTAATTCAAGAGATGTTTATGACCCTTTTTGGTTAAGTTAAGTTGTTTTTGAGTGAAGAGACTTGGAATTAATTGTGAGATGTTTCTCTTTGGTTTCAAACATGTTTTACATTGATTTTTGGAGCATAATTATTTATGTGTAGTTGCTGTCTGGTTATTGATTTAATCGATTAAGGATTAATTCTAATCTTGTTTTTCATGTTTTGAATATTTCTTGAATATCAACATGAGTGTATGCTAATTGATTTTGATTTCTAATGAATGGAATAGATATTTTAAGTTGTTTGGAGACTTAAAGCTTTCAAGAGACTTAAGATTGCAAATTGTTAACTCTTGAGACTTCACATCTTTTATCACTTTCTTTATTAATTCACAAGTTGAATGTTAATTACCAATTTGATTCATGTTCTTGTTTTATTCCTTCCTTCATACATGTATGTGATTCTTGATTGAGAAAAATGTTGAATTATGCAAGTTTCATTTGATTCTATTTTTAATTCCTCTTGTGATTACTAACTTAGTTTTTGATTGGTGTAAGCTCTTAAGATAGCTCAAGTGCTCACTTCCTCTTAGCATATTTTCATCTATTTCTTTTTCTAAGTCTATTAATTAATTATTGTCTTAATTAATTAATTTTTTTAATGAAAATGGATTAGTTTCCTAATCTATTTTTCTTAACCTGATTAATTAATTAGATCAATCTTTAATTAATCGATTCACATTTTCCTCTATTCCTATGGTGTTGTAATAATTAATTTCTATTACTCTCATTTCATTTTACTTTACTTCATTGGCAACCCCATTTGATAAAGTGTATCCCTCTCTCACTACGATATAAATAATTTATCGCATTTCTTTTGTTTATGCTTGAACGTGTTAGAACAAGATTTAGATATGTGTTTAATCTCTATGTTTTGATGATAACAAGCATATATTTTATGAAAAACAATTTTAGTACTAATAGTTTCATTGAGTGTGCAGATATTAGAATTCTGGATAATCTTAATCAAGATATCATCAAAATCATCTTATACACTCAGAAGAAAAACCATTGAATTTTGTTTCTAATGTAACATCAATAGTTCTATGGAATGCTAAATGTTCGACAAGAAAAAAATCTCATTGAGTTTCCAAGAAGAAAGAGTTCCTGACAAGTTGTTGCTTCAAGATCAGATATCAAGAGGATACAAGAAACAACTTCCAACATAGAAGATCAGAAGATAATACTAGTTCATTAGAAGAGTTGTTGCTTATAATTCTAAAGACGAAGTCAAGATTCTAAACACATATAGAGAAAGTTTCTACTTCCGAATCAGAAGTCAAGATTTGTTCATTAGAAGAGATAATGCTTATAATTCTAAAGACGAAGTCAAAATTATGAAGACTTAGAGAGTTCATGAAATTTGTGAATTTTTTTTATTAATAACCAAGTATTAAAAATATATTTCGCAAATAACCGGGTTTCGGAAAAAATTACGCAAATAACCATGTTTGAGATGGCTCCACAAAGGAGGAGCCAAGTCATTTGGCGCATGCACCTAGGGTTTTGCCCTAGGCGCCATCTCACTTGGCGCCTCCATTGGCTTTTAGCCAAGTGAGATGGCGCATGCTCCTTAAAAAGGAGAGGAGGCGCCATCTCACTTGGCGCCTAGGGCAAAACTAGGGTTTTTTGCTGTTTTATAAATAATTCGTCCGTTTCTTTGAAATTTCTCACACTTTCTCGCACTGTATTTTTATTTTGTACTCCCTTATTTACGTAATGACGTCGCCTATGATTTTTAGCAGAGATGGTTACGTTATATTCTCCGCCATGAAACCCGCGATGAAAATGAAATTCTGGCACATTCACTCCATGGAGCGTCTGAAGCGGGAGTTGATGCGGTGGCTAGATGGAGACATCGCCGAGGGGGAAAAAATTCGAAGGATCCAGCGAAAACGAACAACAACCTCGCATGCGACAGGAAGACCTAATGTGTGGTTGGAGGAAGTCAAAACAGACAGTGATGTAATGCTGATGATGCATGGGTCAGATGAAATTGTGTTAACAGTTGTAATTTCCTAGATTGATTATCGTTAATCATTGTTGTACGCGAAAACCCTAATGTAATTTCCTATATTGATTATCGTTAATCATTGTTGTACGCGAAAACCCTAATGTAATTTCCTATATTGAATTTCTTAAATTGTGTAAACAGTTTTATTAACGGAAAACCCATAATGTTTACAACACAAATATTGAAAAGATTTATTGTATTACAAAATTTATGTGGTCGAGCCAGACGCCCGATTCGGACAGTTTTTGCGATTGTGTCCGACCTGACGGCATAAACCACACTTTCTTTCCAACCTGTCAAGATCGTCCATTTCTGTTGTTATGCGCCTGCTTTTGGGACGACCCTTCTTGTTCCTTCGCATTTGGTCATTGTGCCAAACTATATCACCGTTGTATTCAGGCCAATAGTCCGGTTTTGCCACCAAAGGAAAGTTGTTGTTGTAAACAGTGAGCAACGTTTCAGATTTATAAACGTTTGAGAGCAGTTGAAGCGCGTCTTGATGGGTATGCGCACAAGCGGCAATGACATGAGAGCAAGGCATACGAAAAGCTTGAAACCTGCCACAATCGCACCATTGAGAAGGTAAAATGACCCTGTATTCTTGTCTTGCCAGGCCTTCATTGTGGTCAATTGTCTCTTTCACAATGAAGTTGTGGCTATGGCGGTCAAACCGTGTAACCATGTGAGTGTTGGCTTTAGCACTTTCAGCCTTAATGTATTTCATATAGCTTTCACTCCATAGTTGTCCTGATTGCAAGACCGCATACCACATTTCACCTCTTTTGGCAAATAACGCAGCCATCCTAAAATACGTGGATTTCACCAAGGCAGTGATGGGGAGGTTTCGTATGCCCTTGAATACCCCATTCATTGATTCAATCAGATTTGTTGTCATATGCCCCCATCTTTGGCCATTGTCGTATGACCTAGTCCACTTTTCGACCGGTATATTGTCGATCCACGTACCGGCTTCTGGGTTAGACAAACGGATCTCGTTGCGGTAATATTTGAATGTGGGCTGTGTCAGTGCGTATCCCGCATTCATCACCGCTTTCCTCAATGTTTTGTCCTTGACCTCCCTCGAGAAATTCTGGACGATATGCCTGACGCAATAGACATGCGTAGAAGGAGGGTCATGTCAACCATTTGCCGGATTATTATAGGCACTTTCAATGGAGGCATGTCTGTCCGAGATCAAACAGAGATCTGGTTGAGGAGCCACGTGTGTACGAAGATTTTTCAGGAAAAAGCTCCAAGCACCACCGGTCTCCCCCTCGACAAGGGCAAACGCAACGGGGAAAATGTTATTGTTGCCATCTTGTGCAACTGCCATCAAAAGCGTGCCTTTGTACTTCCCATACAACCAAGTCCCGTCTATTTGTAGAATTGGTTTGCATGATGCAAACCCTGCGATGCATGGTTGAAAAGCCCAAAAGACGCGACTGAATATTCCGTTGCCATGTAGTAGACTACCATCTTGAGCGTACGCTGGCAATGTTTCCAGAACATAAACACTACCTGGAGAATATGTCTTGAGTGCATTTAGGTAGCGGGGAAGTTCTCGGTATGACTCCTCCCAGTTTCCGTACACCCTTTCAATCGCCTTAGTCTTTGCTAACCACGCCTTACGGTAAGACGGAGTGTAGTTAAAAACCGTGGTGATGTGGGAGATGATTGTTTTCACCTTCAAAGAAGGGTCGTTGCTGACCAGGGGTAGGATTTCTTGACATATTAGATCATGGTTGAGTTTTCGGTGGTCTTGTGATTGAGTGGAACTTACACAAGTATGGGTAGTCATGGAACCTATGACCCAACAGTCACCCCTTAGTCTGTATGAAGCGGTCAGCTTGAACATGCAGTCAGGGTGGACACACTTGATCTTGTACCTTTCCGGGTTTACACGATCCACCTTATAATCAACCGAGTTGAGCATGTGAAATTTTTTGATGGCCCTTATGCATTCCTCTCTATTACGAAACTTGTCCTTCTCTTTTAAATTTTCATCTGATTGCATATACGGTTGGAAAAACAAGTCCGTAGAAGGTTCATCTCCGCCCATGTTGAAGTTTGTCATGTGCGTAGGTGGTGTGTAGATTTTGTCGGTAGGAATACTTGGGATGCCATCATCGTCAGAATCGTCGTTCACCATTTCATCGAACTCTAACTCGTTATCTTCTTCCTCATCATCAAC